CCACAAATGTTACGATGTTAGTGGACAGCGCGAAATTGAGTAAAATGTTGCGTGTTGACGACAACTTTGACCACAGGACACCCCCCCCCCTTCCCCATTGTTTGGAGAGAAAGTAAATGGGAATTTATAACTTTTCTTCCCCTCTTAACATTCCGAAACATATTAACATTTGCAAAACTACTATAGCAGCAATATTAAAAGGAAGACATTTGACTTGTTTGCTCTCGTCAATTTATCTGTATTTATTGAGATTTATTTTCTTCAAAAAGTACCACCAAATGAATTACTTGATGGCCAACATTAAAATGCAGCAGCATCCTAGGCATCAGTATTCATCCAAAATAAATAAATAAATAAAAAGGAAGAGTTTATGCCCATCGCAAGCCACTGTTACAGTATCCGGTATAAACGATAAAACATTTGCGAAATCACCTCACGTTATGTCCACCCCAACAGCTTTTCCAATCACTCATCGGCGGCAAACCCCAAAAATTTGGGAATAACGGCGAGGGCAAAAATGTTGGACTCGGTGATGACACACTGACCCCTCCCCCCCTCGTAACCTACTTAGTGTATGCTTCAATTGGATGGTGTGACCCTTTCTTGAAATGAATCACTTATCCATTTCACTTTGTGCAGTTTGCCTCGCTTTCATCCTGTAAGACCGGATAAATTGTAGCCACGAAAAGGAAAAAAAAAAAAAAAGAATAATTCCTCCCCCTCAGCAAGAAGTTCAACTGTATTACTTCTGGTCAGCTTCCAAAGAAGTCAGATTTTTCTTGTCCAGTTCACTTCATAACTGCCTCAACAAGTCTCATATTGATCGCCCTTGCAGATTACAATTGATTTTGCACTGCAATGCATTTTCCTTTCGGTTTGCATCTTCCCGCTATCATGAGCTGTATTTTTTATTTTATTTTATTTTTTTCTGGTGTCCAATTGTCAAAACAGTGTTTTACATGTCAATTCCCCCGGGAATAAAAACAGATGTATGGCATTATCGGAGCAGCGACATGCAGATGTCCTTCAATACATGAGTAAATAAATCAAATGATGGTTATTTGTGTGTGTGTGTGTGTGTGTGTGTGTGTGTGTGTGTGTGTGTGTGTGTGTGTGTGTGTGTGTGTGTGTGTGTGTTTCCTCACAGAGACGAAGACCTCACCCATCCCTTCATCCAACGCACCACATAAGGCTGAACCGCCGGTGGGGAGAGCTGCTAAACTTCTCAGCTTCTTCTCACCTCTTCTGTTAGTGATGCTGCTGCTCATCATGTAGTGAGTATATATATGCACACGCACACACACACACACACGCTCGAACACCACTCGCATTGATTCATATTTAAATTGATTATGGGCCCAGCCCCTCAGTCACACATCAGCCAGGCTACGCATGTCCTTCGACGACAAAAACACATTTAGAGGGTTCGGGCGAGTTTGTGTCACAACACAGCTGAAGAGGGAGTTCATTTCTTTTCAGGCAAAGCCCCCCCAAAGCGATGGAAGTAAAATCCAATCCAAAGCCGCCCCATTCCATTTGTTTTTCTACTTTTAAAGGGTGCTTTAATGGTGTGTGTGTTTGTTTTGAGCAATGACGGCTAACTCATTGACTCCCGAAAAAGCCTTCACAAACCAAATGCAGCTTTTCCTCAACGACATTTTTAGCCCAAGTGTGATAAGAAGCTACTCCTCAATCACAACTTCTCTAGTTGGGGTCAAAAGTTGAGCCAAGTTGATAATACGATGCCCTTTAAATTACGGTGATGTTGCAATAACTTTAATTTCCAACTGATAATGTTTCAGCAGGGGCCTGGTAGTCCAGTGGTTAGCGCGTCGACCTCACAGTGTAGCGATACCGGGTTCAATTTTAGCTCCGGCCTCCCTGTGTGGAGTTCACCCCGGGTCTGCGTGGGTTTTCTCCGGGTACTCCGGTTTCCTCCCACCTTCCAAAAACATGCATAGCAGACTGATTGAACACTCTTAAATTGCCCCTCGGTGTGAGTGTGAGCGAGAATGGTTGTTCGTCTCTATGTGCCCTGTGATTGGCTGACAACCGGTTCAGGGTGTCCCCCGCCTACTGCCCGAAGACGGCTGGGATAGGCTTCCCCCACGGCACTCCACCCAGGGAGGCTGCAGCAGGAATTGAATCCGGTACCTCTGCACTGGCAGGTCGACGTGCTACCACTGGACACCAGGCCAAGCTCATAACAAACCAATTTTCGAAATTCCATGAAAAAACAAAAAATGCTCCTAGAAATCAGATCAACATTCCCATGCACCAAGCAAAATGCAACTGGTTGCCGTTTCTTATCACTAATTGGAGATGGCACAGAAGATCGTATGATATGCACACTTTGCTTTCTGTGACTGTCATTATTTTAAAAAAGCAGTTCATTGTTTTAACTTTTTGCGTCTCTGTCTAGATGTAAATGTCTTAAAGTGGAAAGGGGATGAGGAGGAGGAGGTGGAAGAAAAAGAAGAAGAAGAAGAAGAAGTAGAGGCTGGATCTTTGTTTTCTGTTTTGCACAAGTCCCAAGGATACAGTGCATTGATCATTTCTGTCTATCACACACTTACTCGCCAGGATTACTTGGACAATGCCCCCACGCAGCAGGGTCAATTCATGGTGACGCGCAAGTTCTTCAGAGGAGCTCTTTTTGGCCGTGTTGTCATCTTCGCCGTCTTCATCAGCAGCAACAGTAGAAGCAACGCTGCGAAACACTTGTCGTCTAACAGCGCCTGCTGGCTTGAATTTGAATTGTTTGGTTAGTAACAGTATCGACTCGCTTCTCTGCTATTATTATGATTCTTTTTTTATATATAATGGTTTCAACCAATTTCATTCTGTATGTGTGTGAAAATACAGCGGAATTCACACACAAACACGCATACATCCAAGTCCAGCATGTGTGTGCGCATGTGTTAGCGCCCAGCCGCTGTCCCAGTGCCCCATACAGCTAAACCGTCATGCCAACTCCCCAACACAAGCCGATTTGAAACGTAATGAATGGTGTTTGCCTAAAAAAAAATCCAGAAGAGGCCACAAATATGATGATGCCATTTGAAATCTGCGACCCCGTTTCAAAATTCAACCAATGCTTTGGTTCGGATGTGAGGACGATCACTTGCAAGTCACAAAAGTCAGACAATTAGCTTGCATCTGTCAAAAAGGACGATGATTGTAAAACAAAAAAAAAAAACAACAAAAAATATATCTATATATGTAATAAAGGCTAAAGCTCCCCAACATTTTTTTTTCTTTTTGACAATGATACGGCTGTTTTTTTGGAGGCATTGATGGCTGTAAAATAACCCAAATCAGTTTGCTTTCTGACGCCTTCAGAGACATACAAAGTAGAAAATGTCTTCTTGCAGTTTCCAGTAGCCAAGGTCAACTCTTGCTGTTATGTTATTCCGATGAGTACTGATGTGTTTTATTGTGTTTTTTTTTTAATATGTATTTTATGGAGAAGCAACTACAAAAACACACATATAGGCTTTTAGTTCTTCTGTTTGGATTTATTGTCTTTATTTTTTTTTAATCCGACATTCATAATGGCTTATTTCTCTGATCCTATTTTGTAAACTATGATATGTAACTTTAACATTGAAGAAAAGTTTATTATTTAATAATAATAATAATGATAATAATACAAAAAAATATTAATGTATGTATTAGCAGTAGAATGTCGTTACCTGTACCTGGGGTCTTTTTTATAGCTGTATATACAATGACAGGTTTGATCCATTAAATGTGACCATTTCACAATGAATGACGAGCCTGGGTCTCATTTAAACACATTTTTCTAAAACTAGCCAACTGTTTCCTTTCGTTTAAAAAAAAACAAAAACAGCAATCAAGTCTGAATTATGATATTTGTCTTCTCGACAAGATGAAGAGGTTTTGGTGCACATTGAAGGTGAGTTCCGTTGATGTTGAACTCATCAGTCTGCTCATGTTTTGTGGGCAATGTCTCACTCCCGCCTTCAAAAGAGCAAAACATTGCAACGCAAAAGCTTCATGAAAACAAACAATGTTTGATGTCATCGCAACATCGTAACACCCGAGGGGAGCACCGTATAAATTTGGAGGGAGTAAAAAAAACAAAACTCCGGAGTAAACACGCACACATTAACAATTAAGACAATAACAAAGACACGGAGGTGGCACCAAATCACGGGTGGCTATACTGTACTTACTGCAAGAGGAATGTGATGGCACAGGGCAGAGCTGGTTAAATAGAGCAGGAAACAGGTGAGACCAATGAGGCGACGAATGAAGTATCGTCACACTGAGGCAAAACAAGTCGCTTACAGGAACTGGGTCTACAAAATAAAAGGGAGGACAGGAAATGAGCACAACATGACATACTGTGTGTAATTACTTACATGAGTGTGTGTGTGTGTGTGTGTGTGTGTGTGTGTGTGTGTGTGTGTGTGTGTGTGTGTGTGTGTGTGTGCGCGCGCGCGCGCGTGTGCGCGCGCAAGTGAGGTTCCATAACTGAAATACTGTAGTAGAAATAGCTCGCAGCAAGATGAAGCGCGGTTCTGAGTACCACAACAATAAATATGTTATTAAAAAGATCAAGGCAGCTGTGGATTTGATTTCAAAAGATGAAAATGAATGTGAATGTGAATACTGTAGTTGTTTGTCTTGTGCCCGACAAATTTCTAGCTACCGGTTCGGGGTGTTGCCCAAAGCCAGCTGTGGACAAAACGGTCGATGGAAATAGATCGTTGTTTTTTTTTCTTAACCTTTGATGCTCCTTGTGCATGTCTGTTGCTTTAAAAGTACTTCGCTCTTTTCTCTTCGTTATTCTGACAAGTTCTGGCAGGCCAATACGGAGACTGAGGACAAATCAATACACCATCTAACAGCTGTCAGCTGGTGTTCAGTGTGTGCGTGTGCGCGCGCCCGCGTGCTCATTCTTCCATTCACCATTGTGCCTTTTATTCATGATTCGTCCCTCTTCTCGTTGTATCCATACGTAATTTTACACAAGCTCACTAGTTGACAGAAAACGGCACAGCCTAGTCGTTGCCTCCCTTGTTCAGCGTTTGTCACAGTTGTCCGCCATGCATCTCATTACAAGTTCAGAAAGAAGCTAGCACAGGTTGAACTCTTCACCTGGCATTCGGATCCGACTTTAATTAAATGGCGATTGAAATGGTCAGCCACGCTCTTTGTCTGAGGCCAAGATGTGATCCGCATTAACCTCTATCTAGTGTGTGTGGGTGTGTGTGCGTGTGCATGGAAAAGCCATCAAAAAGCCTGACAGCCTCGCTCTGCTCTAATGACTGCTTTGACCTTCCATTGATAAATAGATGAATGACACAATCTATCCTTCTGTCTCAGGCATGCAGAAGCCTTTTCTTCCCTTCGACTGTTTTCACCACTCCAAGAAGCAGTATTATGCTTACCTTCAAGTTGGAATCCACAGTCAGTACGAGGCAGTGAAGTTTTACACCACAGCAATCAATATTTAGCTGATGAATAAATACCGCTGCCCAAAATTTCTCTCAACTTTTGTCATATGAACTGGTGTGAGTACATTACACACGTTTCGGTCCACAAGAGGGAAGCAGATAAACATCTCTAAATGTGCTGTCCATGGTGCTTGTGGAGGCTCTCAGTCGTACAGGAAAGTTCCATCGTAGAAAGGGTCCTGTCAGTCGTCATCTGTACCCGTGGGTAAAAAAGCGCAGAACAATTTCCCGGAGTCTTCACGGAGACTTCAGGGTTGTCTACCGCTGACGAAGCTTCTGTGAGAGAAGCGAAACGTCCTTTTTTGTTTTTTGTTTTTACCCACAGGTACAGATGACGACTGACAGAACCCTTTCTACGAAGCTGTCCATGGTGCTGAAGTTCCTATAGATAGTGTCACATTTAATGGTTATGTTAAAAGTCATGTGAAAATCAAATAAAATGAATTACGTTTTTGCGAAGTGATAGTTGTGTAATGTTGAGCTATGCTAACAATGTCAATGGAAAATGCGGAGAAATATGTCATCAATGAAAATATGTAGGGACGTACACAGTGGTGCATGGAATAATCCGCGTGGCGTCGCTAGTGAGTCACATCCACTGTAGGGCAACTACGGTTTTGAATCAGAAGAAGGAGGTTTCCGTGTGTGAGCGTGTGTGTGTGTCTGTGTGTGTGTTTTGCAGCCGGACTTCCAGTTCAAGACGATGAGGTGAGTGTCATTATTATGATCAGCTGGAAAAATAAACTAAGATACTATATAATGCAGTCATGTTTTGGCCGTAAAATGCTGTTGAATAGTAAGCGAATGCCGTGTTTGTTGGTTGTATTTATTTAATGTTGCCGAGCTGGAGCCGCTGTCAGCCCACACAATGCAATGCAGCATCCTTCAATTGGCTTGTTAGCAAGCTAGCAAGCTCCAAGCTAGCTGATACTCGGGAGAAGGTCATCTTGATTTGGTTTTTGTCGTAACAAGACAAACAAAAACGACGCTGCTGCATTTATAAGCCAATGGCAGTCCGGTCGTTTGTGTGGGTGCTGTATTTAATCGTGTTCCTCAGCTATTTTTTTAAACATCACTCAAACTAAAGTAGGTTTTAGTCTTTTTACCCCTCACATTCAAATGTAGTACTACTGTATTGTTATTGTCAGTCGGAGGTATCTTCAGAGCTATTTTTTTTTGTATAAGTGTGTATAGACATAAGGTGTTATATCTATTATTATTTTTGTTTCTCTGTTCTTTTATTGATATTCATATAAAGTAGTCCTAAGCAAGAGGGGAGTAGTAGTAAAAAAAAAAAAAAAAAAAAAACTTTAGTTGGGCGAACCTTCTTTACAAATATGCGTCATTCAATTAGATATTTTTATTTGGTTTGTTTTCAATGAACTCTTCATCTTTGCAAAAATACACCTTTCAATCAATCATAGTTAATAATAGATTTGTTCCCATTACTATTATTTGTGCAGTCTAAAAGAGTCCTGCTGACCTTCAGTGGCGTTCATCTGGCCACAACCCAGCTGTTCATCAACATGCAAGGTTTCTACTCCAAGCTAGACTCCGCTCCGCTGCTGGGTGTGGCCCTGGGGAGAGAAGGCACCCCTGTGCCTCTCAGCTTGGCCGTGGAGACCGAGAAGGCCCAGGCCCTCTTGCAGACGTTCAGCTCCGCCTCCCTGCTTGCATCGGCGGGCCTGGGCCTGTTCTGCGTGGCGGCCGACCACGCCCTGCAGCTTCCGCTCATCCAGCATCACCTGTGGTTGCGCGCCGCCCTGGACAACGGGACGCACGCCGTCGTGGGGTTGTGGTCCTGGGCCGTGGTCATCGGGCTCCGGAAGAAGAGTGACGTCTACGAGGTGCTGCTCGCGGGTCTCCTGGCATCCATCATTGACTTGGACCATTTCTACATGGCCGGCTCGCTCTCAATCAAGGTGCTTTTCAACACATTAGCAAAGTCAAAGGTCTGGTTTTGGAATCCTGTACTGTACATATTATTATAGACAATTTTTTTTGTCATGCAGGCCGCCGTCTCTCTCCCTCAGCGTCCTCCCCTCCACTGCTCCTCCCTCATCCCCGTCCTGTGTTTGTCCCTGCGCTTCCTCATGTGGCTCGGACGCCTCAAAGACGCCTGGTGCTCGTTGCCGTGGATGCTCTTCATTTCCATGGCCACGCACCACGTGCGGGACGCTGTGCGCCGTGGCCTGTGGGTTTGTCCTTTGGGGAACACGGCGCCGCTCCCCTACTGGCTTTATGTTAGCACCACAGCGACGCTTCCTCACCTGTGCTCTGTGCTCATGTACCTGACTGGAACCAGAGATGTCATCTCCACCAAACATGGAGTCGCCATCGATGTGTAGACCCCGTTGGGCTGATGAGATGGAACAAACGAATGGATGGAAGGGAGAAACTGCGAACAAAATCAGAATAAAGGAGTGCCAATCGCAGGAACTTTTACTTTCCTCACTTAAACACCCCCCGTTGGTGGTTTGTGCATATTCGCCTCGACAATATTTATTTGGTAGTGACTACGTAATCACAACTGCACTGTCTCTCAAGTATTTAAACAAGCAAAATGTCTTAAGGCGTGTTGATATTCTTAAGCAGACTTCAGTTGCACATGCTTCCTTTGAATCCTTTTGCGCACAACGGCTGGTTGTTTCAATATTTCACAGGACTAGCATCATTTGTTGAGGTTTACGTTTTATGTTTAAAAGCTTTTCATTTGAAAAGTGAAACCACCTTATTTATTACACTGATGAGCAAAATGTGTACTATAACACGGATTTATTACTACTTTACATTATGGTTGAACTAATCATGATTACATTTTTTTTGTGGCGACTGTTTGAATGTGACTAGCTTGTCCTAAGTTTTGCTTCTGTCTAAAAAAAGCTGTTGCCCACTAGATGGCGACAAAGAACCTAAAAAAAAATCTAAAATAAATTGTAAATACTATAACAGCATTTTAAAGACGTTTTAATGAAAATGATATAGGTTGTGTATTTCTATTGTTTGCAGCTGTTTTGTACAATGATTTGTCATCTTATGATTTCATAAGAATTATTTGTCATTTCTGTTTTATATCAGTAAACGATATTTGGGAATGATTAGTTTTTTTTCGGGTCAGCTAGTTTCTGTGGACACACACACTGAAACTTAAACAGTTTTTTCCCAGAAAAATAAAATAAAAACTTGTTTCGTCTTCAGCCAAACCACTTATCACCCTTTTCAGTCATAATCTTGAAGCCTATTTTGTTTCATTTTCACTGTGTAACAAAACTCAAGTTTCGTTGTTGTCGGGGAGGAAAAAAAACCCCAAACAATACAATGTAATGCGCTAATATTTTAATCTCAAAAAACAACTTTATGAACGAGTGTTTGCTACAGGAAGCACAATACCACACGTCACTTCCCAACTTGTGGCTTTTTCCATGAAGAATTAAAGCACCTGAAAGCTGCTGGTGTGATAAAATAGTCTTTATTTTATTTTAATTTTTTTTTACAGAAACATACAAGGGCAAAAATAACAGCTTATGGTGATATCTGGCAAACAAATAAAGCAAAGCAAAAATATATATATTTACATCTGAGGATGGATGCCTGAGTGTACAAGCAACAGGCTCCTGGCATCACATACTGTGGAGGAAAAAAGGTTTCTATGGAGACGAAGAAAAGGCTCACATGAAAATATGGACAGTCTCTAATACTGCACTTTGCCCAAAGAAAAATGGCATTGTATTACAAAATGTGTCTTTTTAACACCAGGAAAAGAATATTCCTTCGTGGGGTTTGTCGTGGCTATTTGAGTTCCGTTTTACTTTGATCAAAGTGTGCTTTGAACAATGGATACAAGTTACATAAATCGGCGATACAAAAAAATGGAAATGTTGACGTGCTAGCATGAATTCCAAAACATTTTGAAACATTTATTTGGAAAGTCCTTTCCACGTTTGCTATTTTTTTTCACATAGAGATTTGAATTTCAATTAAAAGGAGGTTCTCCAGACACACATTGCTCAAATAAATACAAAGATGTATATTTTTTGTAGATTGTCAGGAAAAAAAAAGGACCTTACGACTCCAAAAAACGGCAATGACATTGCAAAGCTAGCTGAATGAACGGAACAGCTTCGTATAACTGCGCAAGACAACACAAATGCACGCTGCTGGGGACAGAGATAAAAGATGATCATCAGTGATGTTAATTTGTTTATTTTTTTGGGCGGGACGCTGTTATCTGGAATTCCAAACAGTTTTTTTTTTTCAGTTCAAAGAGTTTGACAATTATTTAAAGAGTACGGCTTGTTTTCTTTTTCACCTCTATGAACTCTCGACAAATTAACACAAGACTGATTCTAACCGGCGCTACCCCCAAATTGGTTACGTACAGACAAAAAAATATTGAGGAAATGCGTTTTGTGACGTACACGCGAGATGCAACAAGACACCAAAAACAAAGCTTCAACTGGATCTGTGCATTTTTTTACGTGAAGGGCTAGCTTGGGAGCACATACGGTCGTCGAAGCTTGACAGTTCATGCACCTTGTGTTCCTGATGCATCGTACACACGGTCAAGTCGGTCAGTCCTAGACCGCACAGCTTTGGATCACAACACAGTGTCATCACCGGGACACAAACACAGGTGAGAAATGAAATCGAAAGAAACGCACACACACACACACACACACAAAAAAAAAAAAAACTGAGGTATTTGGGGCTTTTCATGAGCACTGACCACGCAGTCATTACTGTTCAGCAACGATCGCAGGCTTTTAGGACCTAAGCGCAGAAAAACTGAGTTTGGCTCTTGTCGGGTAACCATGGTCACCGTGGTCACCACTATCTTGCCACAACACGTGGCCACGATAAAACTGGTCCCGGAAGGACTTGGAACTGACCCATATTTTTACTTTTTTATTCTTTCACACCAAATCTGTAAGGCAAACGATCTCTTTTACTTGCTGTTAGTGTTGGCCTTCTTATCAGTACTGTCACCATGCATCTCATTACAAAAAAAAAAAAAAACACACAATAAAGTAACAGAACATTCCCAACTTCCGTCTATCCGTTTGTCAGTAACGATTGTGAGCATCTGTGTGTCATGTTAAAAAAAACAACCCCTTGTCAAAGTCAAGCCGGGAGCTGCGCTTGCAAGCGCTGTAGTTTAGTAGCAAACTGTACAAAACCTAATGTGGAACCTCTGAATTTGCCCTTCAAAAAATCCATCTCCAACATCCCAAATTTTGCAATGACAATGCATAACTTCTGACAAAATCCGACTCGACTGTCATGAGAACAGGCCGGTTTGTTCGCCACGTTAGCCTGTGAAGTGCTGATGGTCTCCAAATACTTTTGGGTTGTTTTTTTTTTTTTTTTTGAGGGCAGCAGCTTCCCAAAGGATCACTCTCTTCCTGATATTTAAACACTTAAGAATGCAATTTAACCCTTTCGGGGACAACGGTCACTACAGTGGATAGCTTATCATGTTATCAGGTTACAGGTTCTCATTATTGGTGCATGAAAGAGTTAAACTTAACTGTGTACCATCCCTCAAACATAATACCTCCGAATTGTTGACCGGAGCGGAAAAGGTTTCGAAATTGCTGCATTATCTGTTGAAAGCAAACCGGGATGCATTTAGCATTATTCATTCAGTCAGTGACCATTGTTTTGGATGAAATGTTTTTGTTTTGAAAATGTTGGGCTTTCCACTGAATAATCATGACCAGATTCACCCCCCCAAAACTATTCCCATACTTATTTTCAATGTCATTTTCCTGCGCTTGCGGTCGACATCATGCTGCTGATTTGTGATGAGGCCTTTTATCAGCTTTATATCCCAATTCCCACCCAAGTGTGACATGCACTTACACACGCTCTGTGGATGGATGATGACAAAGAAAAAAAGGAACAAAACCATTCATCATAACAAAAACAAAAGTAATAGTGACGTGTTTACAATTCAAGTCGCTCACTTGTGTTCAGCTGCCCTTCTTCAGGCCTCTTTGACGCTTCAATGCCGCCAGATAAACGTCGCCACTCATTCACAGCATCGGGTTTGTCTGTGATAACGGACACGTGCAACCGCATAGCAACGTCACCGATGACCGAGGGGGATGAGAAAAGCCCCCTCCGGCAGGTTTGTGCTGCAGATGCATTGTGGGAAATGTAGTCTGATGCCACAACTGGACAGTCTTGCATCTTTTCGTTTGAAAAAAAGAGGGTGGGATTGTTTGTGTCATCGCAGATCTGAAATGGGTTCTGGTTCATTTGTTGTATTTGAATGCCAGCATGCTGCCACGATGGCCCGACTCTTCAGAGGAGCTCGAGAACGGGCCGAGGAGTAGATGATGTTTGGCATTAACCTGAAGAGAGGAGAAAGAGGAGGAGGAGGAGGATGAAAACGGGATGCCACATTAAAAACATCCATATATCATATCAGTAAGCACTGCCAGATGTAAATGACAGAGTGGAGGACATATTTACAAGCCCATAATAAGGGCTTTTTATGGCAACATATGGAGTGGATTTGTTGAAATGTTTCTTTTAATGGTATTTAATCAATATAGTGAAAAACTCTGCCAAGGCATTCAGCCCCCCTCTGTGTTTGTTTTTTTGTTTGTTTGTTTGTTTGTTTGCCTCAAAGCCATGACACTTGTTTTAACTTCGCAAGTGGACTGAGAATAAGACAGCGTTCTCTTTCGGTTTATAATTATCTTCACCACAGAGGCCATGTGTGCCATCCACAACTCTCTCCCAAACAGGCAAAGCTGCGCAACCACACGTGTGGGAAATGATCTTATTCAGAAAACGTGCAACAACACATAAAGAAGATTATCCCGCTTCATCTCGCGGTCAAATATGACTGATCAGTCGGAATGCGCAAAATTGGCTAGTGCTCAAAATGTTCTCGTTTTTTTTTTTTTTTTTAATGGATGTTGTTGAAAAAGACACATTTAATTGCTCGTAGACAAATAAATGTCACTGCGATGCAAAAAGGGGGGTATTTGTCTTCGGTGAGTGTCAGCTGCACGTGCCACATGCATCCGCACCCGACTAATTGAAAAGTTGAATTCAGCTCGGTGATGAAGTGCAGACTCCGCAAGTGAAAATCTTAACGGATGAATTTACTGTCCTTGTGAGTGCTCGCAGCTGTAAAACAGCTCTGCGCCTGGTGGTCTTGGTTACGCAAAGACATACTTGGCATACGGTCGGGTGAGCTGTGGCTTATTTAAACCAAAGCATGTCACACAGACCAATATAACACTATAGGAACTGGCTTGATTAATGTCCACCATATGTCTCCCTCAACGTGTAGTAGACCAGTCAACTATTGTATACGAACTTTAAGAAGTGTAAGAGGGGGCGGGGGTCTCACATCAAATTGGCATAGACTTCATTTTGACCATCGAAGTGAGCTCCTGTTTGGTCACATGTTCACGCCGCCTCTGCTTCACCCTGCAAACACAAAACCAAGAACTAGTAGCAATCCACATCAAACAAACAAACAAACAAACAAACCAAAAAAAACTTTGAGAGAATATATATGGTTAAGTGGTTGCTTTGTGTATGTGAATTTGCAAGTATGTCTTACCACACCACAAAGAAGAGGGAAAGGACAGTGGCTATGATAACCACGGCAAACAAAACCAGCAGAATCACCAATCCCAAATTACCATCATCCTGCAGAACCGGCTCTGGAAAGGAACAATTTGAATTTTTCCTGAGAAAACAAGGTTGAACGAAAAGACAGCCGGCGTCGCGGAGATCATGGAAGATGAGATGTAAAATAAATGCAGTCGTTGAAGGATTGATATGCATGTCTGGGAGGTCGGAGGCACACGGGCGCATGGACTTGTGATATGAAGCATTCTAAGTTTGCCGCCATTACTTTACATGAATATTTACAACATGCCAGGAGTAAACAGACCCACACAATGGACCGTATTTTCCACACTATAAGGCGCTTCGGAGTATAAGGCGCACCTTCAATGAATGACGTATTTTGAAACTATTTTCATATCTAGGGCGCACGGCATTATAAGGTGCATAGAATAGAAGCTACATTAGTGGCTGAGGTTGTGTTCTCCATCCACTAGATGGAGGTACGCTTAAGGGAATACAATACAATGCAACTGTATTTATATTGCGCTGACCCAACCATTTTTATGGCAACATATGGAGTGGATTTGTTGAAATGTTTCTTTTAATGGTATTTAATCAATATATGGCAACATATGGAGTGGAGCTGTAACAAAGCACATTTAAAAAACAGAACATTTAAAAGAACATTTCAAATACTCCGTCCATGGAATCTGAATAGTGATCCATATATAAGGCGCATCGGATTATAAGGCGCACTGTCGGCTTTTGAGCTTTTAGGAGCACCTTATATAGCGAAAAATACGGTACACCAAAATCAAAATATAAGGCAAATTCACCCTCAAAAAAATCTTGCCGCAGTTAAGTGATCGATGCGGACAGAGTGAGTAGAGAATGGATCTGGTTCTCAGAACATTTCGAAGCTGTAATCACTCACAGATGCAGGAGTGCAAACCCAAGTATCGCGGAGCGTGTTTACAAATCCAAGTTGTGTGTTTAGAGCGCGCGCTTTCCGAACGGGCGTTGGCAAATGTATGGCAGGTGCAGTCAGGAGAGAACCGCTTTCATGCGTTGACTGTTTCATTCGGTCATCTACGAGAGAAAGCAACGACAGCTCACAGGTACAATTTGGTGGAATCAAATGTAGTTTGGGCAATAAGCCCAGCACAAGGCATTTGGACTAACAGTCAATGATGCCTTATTATCGATGCCTTGTTATTGTGCCGGTAATTGTGGATGCCTTCTGCGAGAAAAATACGCTTCCATCTGTCTGATCGATTTCTCGATCAAGAGTTTGAGCTTGGAGTCCAAACGAGCCTTCTTTAAACAGTCATCTCACATGCACTGATATTGCTCATGACCGTGTCATACATTTCTCATTTCAAGAGACTTACTCAGTGACTTTGAAGTCGAGGTTTCTGGCTTTGTGTTGAAGGGAAAAACATAGTCTGGAAAATGATCCTCGGGAGGTTCGGATGTGGCAGGGTCTGCCGGACGAGAACACAAACATATACATGTGTCAATCGCTGCCGAAGAAATGTGGAAGAAATGTGAAGCACGAGCATCACTGCGAAATATGCTGTTCAGGATGAGCAACTCATTTTATTTCATGCATGATTCTAAAAAAAGGAACAACAAAAAATATGACAAATGTCTGTACGTTGACTGAAGTTTGGACTGCATATAAAGGAGCGGCCTAATCGTTTTTATTTCATTCAACAAGTGAATTTGATATAATACAGATTTATTAAACATGTGAAAATGTTTCAGAAGGGATATTCCAACCGAATTCATCAATAATATATATTTCTAAATAAAATATGCTAATTTCTTAAATTGGTGGACTGTGGCAGGGTTCGCACTTTTTTCCTGAAATTATTGTATTTATTTAGTCAGCGTTTTAATCGAGTAAATGATTGAAATATGTATTTTTTTTTTTTTTTTTTTTTTAAAAAGGCCACAATTTTCTTCTTGGGATACAGCCGTAGATTTGACTGCAATTTCCATTCAATAAAGCCAATGTCTGATCTTTTTTCGAACCTTCCCAGGGCCTGCCATAACGCAGAGGACTCCAGTCACTCCACTGGCTCTCAGCATCAAGCTCGTCCCTCGCTCGCACTTGGACTTGGTGAGGGTGCCCAGCCAAGGCGTCAAAAATCACTACTGGACTCTCCTCGGGGTAAACCTGACGTAGAGGCAAAGAGAAAGGAGAGGAAGATGAAGAAAAATGCAAGTACTCTAACGACAGGTCCTAAATTCTGATCTGTGTTGACTATAATGTAAACATACATGACCCCCCCTTACGAACCTCTGACCAGTATTGCGATCCATGTGGTCTGTATCTTATATGAAACACGAGAGGGAAAGCATCACGTAGCGCCCACGAGGAGGGAAAGTTCCATGAGATATTCAGCCTATTTGGAAAGCCTTCCACCTCATTTACTAATACTGACTCCGGAGGGTCAGGTTTCACTGAAAAGACAGATAGAAATAAAAAAGTGTTTGGATAAGCTAACGACTGAAAACATTCATGTGAATATGCGGTAATTATGCGCAGTCACGAAACGTATGACAGATTTTCTCCAGATACCATTCCAACCCAAAAAAAAAAAAAAAAAAAATCCCGATACTTACGCAGCTTGTCTAATTTAATCCGGGCAGCCGTCGACTCAGACCCAAGGGCGTTTGTGGCCGTGACGTTAAGCGTGTGGATCGTCTGCCAGAAGGATGGGTGCTCTACATCACAGTACTTGTGGGCCGCGTCCACCAGGCAAGGCTGCCAGGCCTTGCCATTACCCCTTGAAAAAGACAAAAGCGTGATACGACAACATTTTTAAAACACATATTCTATTCACCCTTTAATGCCTGACCCATCAAGGAATAGCCAGAAAAATCTGATTTTTGGGAACTGAGATGTTCATTAACCCTTATAACAAAATCCACAAAAATATTATTTGCCATATCATGTTGTTTTAGATATTTGTTGTATTCCATTTATAAGCATTATGTAGATTACATCCGAAAATGAAAATTTGGAAAAAAATTACATTTTAAACCTTCAGTATCAAATTTGATACAGATGATTTAATGTAATATAAAGAATGAGTTACATAATGAAAATGCATGTATCAAATATGATACAAATGGCATTATATTAAGGCCCTCACCGAAAACGTTTAGATGGTATTGAGTTGCAGTAATTGGCTTTTACCTGAGGGAGGCGTTGTACTCGACTGGAAGAAAGGTCTTCACCGATTCTTTCCAGGAGCAGCGAACAAGAGTGTGATTAGGAACTTGACAGGAAATGCTAAGCAGACCAGGGGGATCTGGAAGAACAAGAGTCTGGGCTAAATCTTTCAACAAATATTTCGAGACTGTAATGTCCCCTAGGATAAAGAAAAGAAAAAAGAAGGAGCACTTGTAGTAGTAGTAGTAGATGTTTCATATACGTGTAGTAGTAGATGTTTCATATATTGTGCTAGCAATAAGAAATCCTCTCGCTCAAAAGGAGCCTTCCTTTTGAGGGAGCCATTTCCTTTTAGAAACAGTCACAGGAAGTGGAGTCTGTTTTTGTGGTGGAAATTTCTTCGAGGACCGCTGGCAGTGACGTGATTGCCACTGTTTCAATTACATAACCGAGCTTTAAAAAAAAAAAAGCGTCAACAATTCAAACCTTTAGATAGAATTTCTGGTCAACCAACCAAACGTGTCACAAGAGCGCTCAACGGAAGCGCACCACTTTCTAAATGACATGACACTTACAGCCCAGTCTGAGTTTGATGGAGTGGAGTAGGAGCCCATGGTTGTCATAGCAGCTGTAGTTGCCCTGGGCTGAAAGGTTGACGTGCAGCAGGACTAACGATCCATCTGATGTTACTTTGTGCCATGGTAACACTTGGCTGTCGTCAAGATGCCACACCACTGGTATCCTACTGGGGCAACATGTTATTGAGTTTAAGAAGACTTTGCGGAGAACAGATTATTGCGGACATCATCTGTACTTTCCTCTCCAAACTGCACTTTGAAAATTCACTTTACAAATGTCATGTCTGGCCTGCTGTGTTGCGCTGAAGAGTTCTTCAACAACATGTGACGGTAGAAGTCACAAGAAAGGTAATTACAGCCACGTAATACGTCTGTTTGTTTTTCCCGAGGGAAATAATAGGCTTACATGTCAATTGCAGTATTAAATGTTTGTTCAAGGTAATGATGGAATAAATTGAGGCACATCAGCTAATAGAACAGAAGCCTCAGTTTGAGGGAATAAAAAAAAAAAAAAGTCCTTTTGAAGCCAGCACTGGTAATTGACTATATTAGCCAAAAATGTGGCTCTTTGTTACGAAAACTATTTCAGGAAATTGTTTTCATCTTGTGCTTTTTTTTTTCCCAAACGGATGTACTGATACTGTAGCAAGAGCAAAAGAATCCAGTATTGACCGTTACAAAATAGAAACAAGATGATGTTTTTTTTTTTTTTTAATTCCTTACTTAATTTGGGACTTCCCACATGCCAGTGTCACATTCGAGTCCAAGCGCCCGTACTGCACGTCCGAAACTGCAAACACAGACATAAAATATTAAGGCACACTGCTTGTCTGGCTGACAGGCAAGCAGTCAGTCGTATTTTGTGGTGCCGTGCTCTGCATGAGTGTGACGTATGTGTCACAGTTTACAGTAGGGACACAATAACATGACCAAAGAAGGTTAGTGGTCCTTCAGGCACTAAACTAAACTGACTTTGACTTGCTTGTTTACAATGAAACGACTTCAAGTGTTTCAACTTCTTGCGTTATGTAATCATGAAAAGTACATAAATCAGTCTCCAAAAAGCTGCTTTGAGTGGAAGGAATAACAGTCAATCAAAAGTATCTTTATTGGCCAAGTATGTTAAAAAAATAAATAAATAAACGTGTAATTGTCTGTGGTGGTTTGAGAGACACTTAGGGTGGATATTGATGAACATTTCGGATGTACCACGAGCACATATAATGACAGCAGTGCAAATGATGCAGAGAGTCCTCAAGCAAGTGATCAGTCGTGCTGTAATTACAATGACAGTTGGACAAATGATGTGAGAGCCTTGAGCTCTTAAAATTTCCAGCAGTGTGAAACAGTTATGATATGGTCAATACATTTATTATTATTATTTTTGTTTTTTTTTTTTAACCAAGGATAATGTTACACATTCAACTGGAGCGTACGCAAGAGTTGCGGTGCACACCTGAATAAATATTTGCGGTGAATTTAGCAAGTTGCCAAGTGGATATGATATCTTCACCATAAAGTGTGTACGCTACAAGATATAAAAGTTGGCTTCTGTGGAACATCTCAGGTGGAAAAATATTTGACAGGCAGCACAGGGCTAATAAGCACACACACTCGAATTAATCCAAACTTCTGTGCCGGGCTCTGCGGGCCTTTTCTTACTTGGTTAACTTCCAATCTGGCCCGACTTTCACTTTCGTGTTTTTCATACGCATCAGTCATCTCCATCTTCTCCATTTTTGCTCTAAATGCGACAGTTGAATAATCAAGAGCTGAGTGTTCAGATCTTGTTTTAATCACGAAAGTTTGTTTATTTATTTGTTTTACACTTGTGCAGCAATTGTTCATTTTAAAAGTGAGATGCTTGAGGCACGTGGACGATGTGAATCATCGTCACCTGTGTGTTTTATTGATATTATCAACAATGACTGATATCTTTTTTTTTACACTTGTAAGACCGGTAAAATGGTTCCTCTTTGCCTGTACAGCTAATGCAGGTTTTATGGATATGAGGTTGATTATCACTCCAGGAATTTTATCCGAAAGACTAATTGATGCTCAAATACCAAGGCATAAAGATAACGTCAATAATCGTCAACGTTCTGAGTGTCCTCCATTGCGTTCGGATAAGCGTTCAGCAAGTCATCTTGCTGAGTGCAAGTTTCCTCAAATACGAGGAAGAGTTTTCTTTTGTCAACAGGAAGTATGACTTTAAATTAGAGTTGTGCGATATGACGATATACGGTCTATTATAGACATGATAACTAATTGGCGCAGACTTTCAGGCAGGAGGGAGACATTCCATCCGACCTTGATGCCTTCTTGACTTTTTTGTATATCGTGGAAAGAAAGGTAATTTCCCAAAGGAAAATAGAGCCAGATTATATCTATCATATTCAGGGGACACTGAAGGGAAAGCAGCAACGGTTGCACTCCAGCACGGACGACATCAATACACACCGCAGGGCATGTAAGTGGTGAAATATTTTTAGCGACAATTTCTAGAAATGAGTCACTTCACACCAAAACCAGCAAGCGTCCCACTAGCTTCTTTCCTTTTGCCATGAACTTCGAAAACAGTTGACTTAGGATTCCAAAGTGGCCTTTTTTTGCCAATTTTTGTACATCTCTCTTTTTACAGTATTACTTTCTTCATTTTTATTGCCACATTGTCGTGGATAAGTATTCCACACTTGTGCACACTCTAACGTCCTCAAGGACTTTGCATCATTTACACAAGTGTCGCTGTATCATAATTCCCACACTACAGGTCACTTACTCATGCTTCACGACTCTCTGTATCATTTGCACAGCCGTCATTGTGAAGTACTACCACACTAATGGTATCCTTGCATTTTTTTCGCAACTCTCTGTACCAAGGTGTTATGTCCGAAATGTACGTTTTGGTATCGTGGCTTGTTTGTGGGGACAGTGTTAGTGAGTGAGTGTCCAACAAGCAGGACAATAAAGCCTCTTGAGTGAACTGAATACATGAATACAATACACGGGCGCAAATAAATGAACTACCGTATTTTCGGCACGGTAAGGCGCACCAATTTTCCCAAAATCCGACAGTGCGCCCTATAATTCAATGCACCTTACAGATGGTGTGACAGTCTCTTTATATTCCCCATTATGATTTTCCCTTGTTAGTGTTCCTATGCCATCTAGTGGTTATTATTAGCAGGAACCAATTGCATCCTAAAAGGGTTCTGCCCGACACTAATTGACATGTGTATTCGCCAACACACACTCCAAAGACAACTACTTTGTGAGCTCTGCGTAGCCATTATGAAACAAAGATAATACTAAAAGCATAGTTAACTATTGACCAAATGAAGGAAGAAGGAGACAAGCAAGATTTTTATATTTAGCCCATTGTGCATGTAAGCCCGTGGGGTTTGTGTGCCTTTTTGTTGAATCAATGGTCTTCGTAACTTTTGTCTTTCATTTATTGTTTTGGAATGCCATTTGTATTTTTATGTTTCTTGACCGTGTATGTGACCAGTTTTCATGGCTTTGTTACAACTGCAGTGGTTGTGAAGGCTGTATATAAAGCTGTATTGTATTGTCTTCCTTTAGCTCCATCGCGTGGATGCAGAGCGCAACTGCAGCCACTATTGTAACTTCTATTCTATGCACCTTATAATGCAGTGCGCCCGATATATGAAATCAGTTTTAAAATAGGCCATTCATTGTTGCGCCTTATAATACGAAGGGCTTTATAGTGCAGAAAATACGGTACGCCAACAACAAAAAGAGCTGTTTACAGCATTAATGCAAGAGCAGCATTACAACTTTAAAGGATTTGGTCAGATGATAATGGGCTCAAACCAACTCGCGACTTGACAGTATTACAAGGGAAGTCCAAGAAATTAAAACCAGCATAAAATTTACTCGGAAAGATGTAGAGGATATTAAAAAAAGGTCAGATCAATCAAATTGACCACTGTAAAAATATGCAAATAGAAATTTACAAAATATGTATCAGCCTGCTAATTAATAATCGATAAGATGGACGATTTAGAAGATCCGTTGAGAAGAAATAACTTGCACATTTACGGAATAGAGGAAACACAGTGAGAAACCTGGACGGAAACAGAAGAAAACATGCAAAGAATTTTCAGGGAGAAGTTGCAGTTCCAGGGGTAAATTGAGATGGAGAGAGCTCACCGCACTGGGAGACTCAAGCCTGGGAAATTTCGCCCAAGGCCAGTTGAAATTTGAAAAATACAAGGAGAGAACAAGGATCCAGCAGCGAGCAATAGTACTTAAAAAGCTCCAACATGTGTATAAATGAGGACTTTAGAGATGTCGTGCGTCAAAAAAGGAAGAAAAACTTCCAAAATTAAAAGCTGCACGTGACAGAGGGAACATTACCGACTTGCGGCAGGTCAAACTCATAGTTTATCTCCGTGCCAGTACACCAACACAACAGGCTCAAGTTCAACACCATCGAGCGGCATGTTGAGAACTGTCCATCAACCAGCTGACCACCGAAACTCTCAGACTCTACTGTCATCGAAAATCCACATCCTAAAAACTTCAGAACCTTTGAATATGATGACCACAAGACATTCGATCCCGAGAGCAATTTGGACCCAGACAATCATTTTTTTCAACTAAAATGACAGCATTTCTAATTCTGGGTATTATTACATGGACGATCAACTCAACACAAAAATGTAGAACTGGAAAATGCACTTTAGCAGTTGAACCATCCATCAAAACTTTACAAAAATCAAAGAAACTCGACTAAATTAAATACATTTAAAATAAATGCCATTTCAGAAACTTAGCTTGACAATGAAAAAAACTACTGAAATGAAATCGGAAGGATATGAATTGTTTGCACCAAATAGGGGAAACCGATGTACACTTGACTCGGTTGACATGTTGACTTTTTTTCCTTTTTCGATTGAGCTACACGACATGAATGCTCTATAATGATATTCATATCAAACAAGTTCAAATTCACAAAGAACAAAGGGTAGGACGAGATCAGTTTTGTACGTCTTTGAACTTGCTCTGACCATGTAAATTGTGCTAATTGATAACTATTTGTTTTTTTTGGAGGGGACATTATGTATAGAGAGAGAGATCTGGTTTATTTTTGTTTATACCCACAGATAGTGCACTCTCTACGATTTGTTCCTGTGGTTGTACACGTGCATTTGTGTGTGTGCAGCGTGTGTGTGATTGTGTGTAATCTTCAGAGTAGTGCAGAGCCGGCTGCTTTGAATGTGTGTATTCATGTTTATTGGCAGTCAGGCACATTATTATTCAAAGCCGCAGCGTTCCACTCATATCTGATTTTGACTTTGGCAAAAGGGCCGCAGCACATGGACAAGTACCCACACATGCACACACACACACACACACACACACACACACACACACACACACACACACACACACACACACACACTCAGAAAAATAAACAAATAAACACGAATGTGCGTTTAAGTGCATGCCTCCACATACACAAATAAACCTTCACACAAGCTTAAGTGTAAAGGAAAGCCGCGTGTCTTTGTTGAAATCAGTTCAAGAAACTAAGAAAAAAGGGGGCGGTGGTTGTGTAGGGTTACGGGAAGGGGAAAAAAAAAACTGTGACAGTTTTATTCAAAGGGCTAGGGGCCAGTATTCTTATTAATGAAATGAATAAGCGAACCTCAACTTGGCTCCGATAGCAGACACACGGAGAGAAACATTGGAGAGGCATTAAGAAAAAGGGAAAAATGTAAGAAAGAAAGAAAACGTGCCACGTCAATTTCTCGAGAACAGATTCCCATGAAACCGAATACAGAAAAACACATTGACAATAAACGCCTTGTGTGGCGCGAACTGAACAAAAAAAAAACAAAAAAACGTGAATTTAAAATAGACTAAAAATGTTTGGAGAAGAGAATCATAAAAGTGAACAAAACTGTGATTGGCCAACATGAGAAATGTTTTTTTTTCAGAATGTGTCGGTGTTTCATGGTGATTTTCCTCAAGCCAAAACATACAGTATAACCAGTTGTTTTATTCTAAATGCTAGATGTTTCCTCCCTCTTTTTTTTAGCAGTTCCTTCAACTGAGATGGTCAAAAGCTCGCAAAATAAGTCAAAAATTCGCTCTTTGTATGTGAGTGTACGGCATATGAAAAGGACATGCCTTTGCAAATGGATTTTTCAACATGTGCTTATGATCAGGGGAGGTGTGCGTGAATTCGAAGTGTTCGTTACCTTCATTGGTCCAAATCTGAGCACTACTTCGACACAGTGACCAAGATAAAAACCAGATGACAGTCAGACTCCCAGAACTGGACAAAAGACCTGGCATCTGGAAAGACACAGAAAGTATAATCACGAAGAGTAGGAGCTTAGACTACAAAGTTTATCTGCAGCTTTGTCTGACGCTCTTGGTTAATACTTTCACACCGCATAAAAAGTGCCGTTATTTTCTTTTCATTTAAATGTGACACCAAAGCTGTCTCTTACACCAAAATGGTGACTTTTTATTTTTTTGAAGCGGCACCTGTCAAAGTCATTTCGACGGAGGCGTTATGTGCATGTGTGTTTGTTCTCTGCTCACAAAAAGAGAGAAAAAAAAAGAGATGACGGACCCGTTTATGGATTGTGGGGAGAGGGCGGTATGGATTGTCCTTTCTCCCAAAAGAACTAACAATTTGTTTAATGACACCATGTTTGCAAATCGGCTACTGGCTTTGCAGTTAGCAAACGTAGCATGATTTGAAATGCTACATCTACTTTCACGTCCGGTCTCTCGTCATTAGGAGGGCACTGTCTTCCGATTGGTCAACCAATAAAACCAATTGAAGGTCGACATGGGACATGTCACACTTTGCGGCAAGACCAACGATAATTTGAACATGCCAGACTTTGGTTGTCGTGGTTGTGAGGCGTCCCAGACACCAGATGACCAATCATTGATATGTCACGCTATTCAGGCTACACTGCGTCACGGCAACTCAAATGAGACACAACATTTTCTGCGACATGTCTGTCGGCTCAAAATCGGGCTAGATTCTTGAAGTTTGTAGTCTCAGTATTATAGTCCAAAAAATAAAGTATCCTTTGTTTCACATTTGACATTCTTGACTGTCATATATATGTAGGTAAAAGTAAGCTCGACTTAAGACATGAACACAAAATTGTCATGTTTTAACATGAATGACAAATGTGTTATGTGAGTGTGAGATGCTGCTCAATCATCCAAATTTTTTTGAACACCCTTATCCCACAAGTTAAAAAAATAAGTTGAAAAAAAAATCACTTTTGTCTTTAACTTGCTTACCAAATAATGGGCAAGTATTGGGATCCTGGTGGAATCTTACAATGAGTGCACTTCACGTAGTCTGTGATGCATAATTGTTGTCTTTTAACATTATATGCAGTGGTTGTGGCTTGTCGTTCTTTTTCTTCAGAATAAGTATTGTTAAAAAAAAAAAAAAAAAAAAAGAAAGAAAAAATGCCCAAACCATACACGTAATTCTTTGATGATTGAGCTTGTTTGATGCAACTTTGAGACATGTGTTTACCGATGTATTATTTTTTTAAATAACAGTCATTCCTGCTCTTCAGGGACATTGAACTTCAACTTCCACTGCACGATTGCAATAATCACCACTGCACTGTTTTAGGAACTGTTACACAACAGTTCAACAATACTCAAAATTGATTTTGTTAAAAACATTTCATGCAGATTTTTTTTTCTAATGAAGAAAACATGTATCAGAATTCAAACAATGGTTTATTTGTCAGGCTGACTTCTTTTTTTTTTTTTTTTTTTTTTTAATAAATTCCAAAAGATGACTCAAGATGACGAACTGCAGCACAGTTTGAATCTTTGGCACAAACAAGACCGATCAGCTACCCATCAGTTTCCAAAATGATAAAATAAATGTCAACCAACTTTCATCAGCATAAAGTATTGTTGTTGGTTCATGGAATGGCGGTGGCCCTACCAGAATCCAATCAAAGGTCACAAAAAGGTGTTGTGCCAAATGGACGTTGATTGGAGCGAGTTACATTTTAAAAAAGATGATGATATGACAGTTTCAGTCCAAGACGGTGAGGACTTTCGACTTCGCAAAATAGAATACAAGGAAAATAGAAGGCAGCACTGCTCCAAGGCCGCTAGACCATTAAACCCACATCTGCAACTGAAACCATATGGATTTGTATGTCAAGACATATCTTCAAAACGGTTCGAAAAATACTTTAAATTTTCCACGAGGTGAGCAAAATATTTTCTGGTCAATTACTCAAAAAAAAAAAAAAACAACCTGTTACATCAAAGTGGAAAAATATATTTTTCTTTCACGAACTTCCACTACACTAGAAGATGCACACTCTTTGGTATTTGAGCTAGTATGTCAATAAGCCACAAGTTGAGTGGGGAAGAACCTGAGAGGTTCCCATCAAAGACTTTTGAAAAGAACTAGAAAAGGACTTAACCCTTTCATGCACCCTGGAAGCTGCTAACATGATAAGCTGTCCACTGTAGTAACCGCTGTCACTGAAAGGGTCTCAGTATTCCATTTTTTTTAGCGGTAGTAGGTGGTTAGGTGCACCGACATTTTGTCTGTTGAAGTCCTGGCCCAGTAATAATAACATCTAAGACCGGAGAAACCTCAATATTCATGCAGCAACTTGTATGAAAGAGAGAATGCTATGAAAACTTTTATTTCCAATTCACAACTCACCGTAGTTCTAAACATCCAAGTTAAGAAGGGCACAAAAGTTCAGAAACCTGTGTACGAGTTGAGACCCTGCAAATCTTTGCATTGCGGTGTGGTGTTCTGGCACAGTGGCGTTACATTTCACCACGTTGGCAGTGTAACTTCTCACAGCATACTCAGCAAATTCAAGTTTCATGTGTTTACATTCCTTCTCCTCTTCCAGCCATGCCACCTTGCTTGAGAGCCTCATGAAATGTGAGACATTCTATGTCTGCAATCCAGCTGCAACACCCCTGTGGCTTATGAGAAGTCAAATGTGCTGCAGATACGTTCAACAGTATATTGATTGCCCATCAAAGGATAATTAATGTTCGGAACAATTTGATGGGAAGCAGAAAAGGTCAAAGTCAGCGCATCAGTGTTTCAGTGCGGTGTACAAGGCTTAGTGTTTCCCTTTTACTATATTAAACCATTCCTCTTTCACTTGACTCTACAGTCAGTTCCTAGCAACATTTTTCCAGTACTCTGATATCAGAAGGTTCAAGGTTCAGGAAACAAATTTGTATCAATGTCTCTGATATGTGCAAGTACAAGTCAACATTTACCCATATGACATGATTACATTAATAAAACACCCAAAAATGCTTCTTAATTAACTACAAATGAATACAAACATACAATAGTGTCACGGATGCACCTCACAGTTTTATTTAAAAATAACTCATGTAGAAATCGACTAGGACAGGAATGTTACCAAAATAAATAAAACGAAACAAAATACAAAATACAACTGATGAGCACATGGCAGCTAACCTCAGTCTAACTGCTAGCTAACAAGGCGCGTAGTTAGCTAGCGGGAGACACTAAATTAGCAGTCTTCTTTTTATTCAATGCTCCCTGTGGTCAAACAGCTCAAACAGATGGACTCAACACCAGTCACGGATGATTAAAATTAAAGCCCCTGCTTGATATGCCATTCAACAGCCAAAGCCAAAGGCAATGGGACAAAACACTAAGTAACAACAAGCTCCTAAAAATAAAATGAGTAACATTATGAAACATTGCTTAACAGCCTCAATGCTTCATTGCAATCGTCCACATGACTACTGTGACATTGAATTACGAACACTCGATGCACATGGGGGCTGCCAGTCTTTTCGCCTTGAATTGAGAGTTCATTTACTTCAGGGAAACTTAGACGGGACTTTTCTGTCTACTTTTCACGTTCCACCACGTCCTTTTAGACTCAAGTTGTTTTGTTTTGGGGGTTTTTTTGGGTCATCTTTATCAATGCTAACACGAAGCCCAACAGCCCGGGTCCACTGATCCGTATTGACTATCCGTGTCATGTACTGATGTCATAATGACAACAGTCAAAATGTAAAAACCATTTATTTTCAAACTTTGGGATGTTTACACGAATTTTGTTCAGACACCGTTTTACGTCATTTGAAGCACCCATACATCAACGTACCACTGTAGTCATGTTGCAGCGATGGTATGAACACCACACGACCAAGTCAATGAGCATGCTTTGTCTTCATTGATCTAATATCTTAAGGAAGAAATATATAAAGATACAAAAAGATTCAAGCTAAATGCAGCAAAATAAAAATCATTAGAAAAGTTCATAGTACTGTTTTGAATATGGGCAGCCCACCCAGTTATAAAAGATGCTTTTTTTTTTTCTTTCCAAGAAAAAAAAAAAGCATCACTGGCAATACTTAAACTAGTGGAAAATCTCATCTTTCACTGTTGGATTGACGACTGAAAATTGCACTGCGGTCTGCCAAAACCAAGATGGAAGCTAACAATTGCAATGTAGTCGCCCAGTAGTTGTGGATATTTTACAGGCATGTATTCAGAACACTGATTAGTATCTACACTCCACACCACCAAGCTAACAGTAAGGGCCAAACCATGAAAATCCACTTCTGTCAACCATACACACTATATATGCAAGCAAAGCAACATTCCAGGTCAAATGCTGATTTTAAATGATTGTGCTTTAAAATACCCAGTTAGGGAAGGACAGAAAATGTGTATACCACAAGTTTATTTTACTTTTTGGTGCAAAAACAACATTGTTTAAATCTGCATCACAATGCAGCTGAGGAACCACTTACTTTGTATTTCTCCTCCCACTGGCTACACATATATAGAACTGTATAAAATTGCTGTTTTTATGTTATTGATTAAAAAACAAACAAACAAACAAAATTACATTTCAAGCGTGCAGTGGTTTAAACTGATATGGACTGGGCGATATCAACATAAAGCATAATTTTAAGTTCTTTAAACCTTGAAAACATTTTAAAGCTTCCAGTTTCTACCGCTTATCTTGTTCAGGGGAATAGGTGATCTGGGGCCTCACGCAGATGACAGGTACCAAGAGGTGGGGTATACCCTGGAATCAATGTTTTTGTGAGTATATTAATGAATCAGCCCATTAAGCCTTGGTTTTCTGTTTTTGTTGTTGTTGTTGTTAACTCAAAGGATAGCAGAGCAAATATGCCAAGGACCACTGATAAGTTAACTCCTCAAATGTCAACAGGTTTTTTTTTCCACAAGCTGTCCCTCTCACTGCAGGATTTCATAGCGACTCACTCCCACCAAGTGTCAGGTTTGTCTATCTCTC